GAAGGGACGTTATTCAAAAGGGGAAGAATTTATCGAATTTCCCTCGTATTGCTATATAAACTTGCGAACAATTGATCGTTTTTCCTGATTCGGCTTGCGCAGGCGCAAGTTCCTCGATGGACAAAAAAGTTCGGGCTGTTCTTCACCGTTATCGCGTTGAATCTTCCCATAAACCTTTTTTCGGGAATGCCTGGAGTCTCCCTGGCCTCGACTACACCCTCAGACTAACGTACGAGGGAATTCCAATGCCCTTTCGTTTCTGGAAAGAGTTAAGATGCAATCTGAGAAGAAAGTACTTGAGACTCATTCCAGTTGCATCTGGGAGTGGCTCGATCTATCAGCGAGTGAGGCGCTGTCTTAATTAGGGCTTCCCCAATTAGCATTCGTAGATCAGTCAGCCCGACATAACGCCTTGAAATGAAGCAAGGAAAAAAATATTAATCATCGAGGCTAGAAGCCATACAAAGAACAAAGTAGAGCCAAACATCATCTTCAACCGCTAGATGACGTCATGATCAAAGGATTAAAAGCGCGGGTACGTCATAGAGACGGAACGAAACGTGGTCGGAAATTCGACTAAATCGCAGTTCAAGCCTGTAACGCCCAATCGCTCACGTAACGCAAAGCATTAAGACAAGCAGCAGGAAAGCGAACCAGTCGAATCGGCGGCAAAGACGGAGCAAATCGAAGAGCCTTCCCCCAGCCTTCATCGTCATCCACTGCCTCCGCACTCTCCATGCATCTGGGCCGCGAGTTGGGCATATTCGAAATTAACTGATTCGTCCCCATCAGACTCGGCCCTGACAGATTATGCCATGTGATTATTGCCAATGGTTCAGTTTATTTCAAGTTTTTATGTTTAAGAGCGATCCTGCATTAAAAGGGCTCCATTTGCTTTCGGCGAAATATATTATATCTAGCTCCTCTCTTGTATATACCATACGACCCATGCTACCCCATGCTACGCATTGCTACCATCTTCTGTACTTTCTTCTACCGTGCCTGCACCATGCTACCCCATGCTACCCATTGCTACCATCTTCTGTACTTTCTTCTACCGTGTCTGCACCATGCTACCCCATGCTACTCATTGCTACCATCTTCTGTACTTTCTTCTACTGTGTCTGCACCATNATTCGAAAAATCAGATAGATAAAATAACGACTATGGTCGTTATTTTAAAGAAGTTTACAGGCGAGGCTAGAAAATTCTCGGCAGTGCCATATTGGGCATGGAAGGGTAAAATCAGGCAGTCGTTTCCGAATGGCCAGGTGAACTGAGATCGAGACGTGTTTCATGAACTCCACGAAAATCACTCCGGATTTGACCCCAAAAGCCGTTGGTGAACTCTTCGGGTGTAGGCGTCACTCGGCTCATTTCCGTTCCTGGGGTTTTGTGATGCGCCTCGTCGCGATTCTTGGGGCAGAAATTTCCCTTTCTTGCTTGAAGCTCCGTTCCACCTTCACGTCGGACACGCCACCTGGTGACGGGATCTGACAACTCGCGCGACTTCTTGCCAGATGTTCCGGCTACTTAATCATGTTTGGGGTTCCCTATTTTAAAAAGGTTGAAGGGAAGGGACGTTATTCAAAAGGGGAAGAATTTATCGAATTTCCCTCGTATTGCTACACAAGCCTGCGAACAATGGATCGTTCTTCCTGATTCGGCTTGCGCAGGCGCAAGTTGCTCGATAGACGAAATAGTCCGGGCTGTTCTTCACCGTTATCGCGTTGAATCTTCCCATAAACATTTTCCGGCAATGCCTGGAGTCTCCCTGGCCTCGACTACACCCTCGGACTAACGAACGAGGGAATTCCAATGCCCTTTCGTTTCTGGAAAGAGTTAAGATGCAGTGTGAAAAGAAAGTACTTGAGACTCATTCCAGTTGCATCTTCATCTTCATGCATCGTCTTCGCATTGGGGATTCATCTGAGAAAAAAAGGTTTTTTTTTCGATGGGAGAAAGTGAGCGTGAGATCCTGCTTTGGTGGGATCAAAGTTGGATCGCATTGAAATGCGATCCGGCTGATCCCCGCCGACAATGCAATGCGATGCGATGTTTAGTCTAAGACGCGATGCACTCTAGGCTAAGCAAAAATATGCTTGGAGTCTTGCTTGGATTCGTGCTCGGAAGGGAAGTTGAGGGTTTCCAAGGTCCTCTGCTGGTCACTTGTAATAAGTCGCTCTTCATCAAAACTTGATGGAGGGCGAGGTGGGGGGTCGTAATGACGTTTGACCTGGGAAGAGGCAGACGAGGTCGTTCAGGGACAGGCAATCACAAGTCAATCTCAACTTCGTTACGAACTTGGCTCCCTCGATGACAATATAACCTGATTAAGACAGAAAAAGGCGTGGAGGAGAAGGAAAAGAAGAAGCCGATTCCTCGTAGATGGAGCCATGTACAAAAGAGAGAGAAAGAGAAAAAATTGCTTGTCATATCTGCTCTGTTCTTCCCCATTTTTTTGCATGGTAATGAGCCGGGGCGTAGATTAATCTAGGGCTTTTTTGTCTCTGGGGATAACGTGTCGGGAATGCGAGAGGAGGGATGGGGTAATTGACTATTTACCATTTTTATGTGGAGTGCGGGGGACAGGGGGGTGGGGAGTCAATTTAATGGTATCGTCTTTGGGATGAGGAGGGTTATCTGGAGTTGGCAGGGGTGTCGGATGTGTCGGCGGAGGGGTATCGACAGATGGCTTTCGGCTTTAATTGAAGTCGGTGTCAGGTTGATTTCCGGGGTCGGGAGTGACGGGCTGTCGGCTTTCCCCCCTGATTTTTCCCGATTTCACGAGAAAATTCCCGCTGAAAAAAAATTCCCAGCATCACCTGCTCGGGGCGAAGAGATAAAGGGATGAGAGGAAAGAGGTTGGCATAAAACATGAGGTGTGGAGATGATGGAAGTCTTTGATCCCGAGGTGTGTGCCATGTCACGTCCCTTTCTGAGGCCTCATTTAATTATTTATTTCCAGCGGCTCTTATCCCCGTCCTCCAGGCTCTTTCTTGGGAGGGGGGGGGGGGGGGGGGGGGGGGGGGGGGGGGAGGGGGGGGGGGAGAA